AGTTGTGAGGATTTTTGTTTTCTTTATATTGAGGTGTAATCCATACTGCAGACTGTATTCTTCAGTCTTCATCAGTAAGTGCTCCAAGTCATTCTCACTTTCAGCAAGCAAAGTTGTGCCGTGTGTGTATCTCAGGTTAATGAGTCTTCCTCCGATCCTGCTGCCACATTCTTCATACAGTCCAGCTTCTCGGATTATTTGCTCAGCACACAGATTGAACAAGCATGATGAAAGGACATAACCCTATGCACTCCCTTCTTGATTTTAAACCATGCAGTATCCCCTTGTTCTGTCTGACAGCCTCTTGATTTATGTACAGGTTCCTCATGAGTACAATTAAGTGTTCTGGAATTCCCATTCTTCTCAATGTTAACCATAATTTGTTAGGATCTGCATGATTGAATACCTTTGCGTAGTCAATAAAACACAAGTAAACATCTTTCTGATATTCAAGCCAACATCCATCTGACAACAGCTATGATATCCCTCGCTCCACGTCCCCTTCTGAATCTAGCTTGCATTTCTGGAAGCTTTCTGTCAGTATATTGTTTAATTTTTTAATTATCTTCAGTAAGATTTTACTTGCATGTGATATTAATGGTAGTGTTTGATAATTTCCACATTCTGTGGGATCACCTTTCTTTGGAATGGATACTAATATGGATCTCTTTCAGTCACTTGGCCAGATAGCTGTCTTCCAAAGCTCTTGGCGTAACGAAGTGAGTGCCTCCACCCAGTGGGTATCCTGTCAGTTCCTGGAGCCTTGTTTTTTTGCCAGTTCCTTCAGTGCAGCTTTGACTTCTTCCTTCAGTACCACTGGTTCTTGATCATACGCCACCTCCTGAAATGGATGATCATATACCAGTTCTTTTTGGTATAGTGACTCTGTGTAGTCCTTCCATTTTCTTTTGATGTTTCTTATATCATTCAACATACTGCCCATGGAATCTTTCAGTATCTTTCAGTAATCTTTTCAGCAATTTGAGGCTTAATTTTTTTTTCCTCAGTTCTTTCAGCTTGAGAAATGGCCCAGCATGTTATTCCCTTTTGGTTTTCTAACTCCAGGTCTTTGCATCTTTCATTATAATAATTGACTTTGTCTTCTCAAGCTGCTCTTTGAAATCTTCTGTTCAGCTCTTTTATCCTGTCGATTCTTCCACCTGCTTTAGCTACTCTCAGTTCAATAGGAAGTTTCAGAGTCTCTTCTGACATCCATTTTGGTCTTTTCTTCCTTTCCTGTCTTTTTAATGACCTTTCACTTTCTTTGTGGATGATGTTCTTGACGTCATTCCACAATTCCTCTTGTTTTCAGTCATTGGTGTTCAGTGCATCAAATCTGTTCTTTAGATGGTCTCTAAATTCAGGAGGGATATAATCAAGTCATATTTTGGCTCTTGTGGACTTCTTTTAATTGTCTTAGCTTCAACTTGAACTTGCCTATTAGCAGTTGATGGTCTGTTCCACAGTCAGCTCCTGACCTTGTTTTGGCTGAAGATAATGAGCTTCTCCAT